TGTGTGTGTGTGTGTGTGTGTGTGTGTGTGTGTGTGTGTGTGTGTGTGTGTGTGTGTGTTTGCGCGCATGCGTGGGTATATGTAGCTGGTTCCACATAGGCATGTAGTTACACCAGATCAAAGAACTTTTAGAGATGCTCCGCAGCCTGGGGGAAGACAGAAAAGAGCAGCTATCTTAACAAACCCAAATTCATTTACCATCCCCATAATGGTAAACTAGAAACTCAACTGTCTAGAAATCGGGCAAAGATTAGCAAGCCTGATGTCAACCCAAGAAAGAGTGGTGATGGGTTCTACAGAAATAATCAGTCACTCTCCATTCTAGGTCCTACTTTAACACCATATTCTGAATATAAATTCATTGCTTGGTGAAAGGACAAATATCACAGATTACCAAGTACTTTTAAAACAGAACATTAAGTTGGATCCCAAGTCCTCATCACTTTGGGCTTCAATTATATAACCTCAGCTAAATCAGTTACCTTACACTTTTTTCTTCTAGCTTTGTTTTTTTGAAACAAGGTCTCGTGTACTTCAGGATGGGTTTGAGCTTCTGATCCTCCTGCCTCCACCTCCCAAGTGATGGGATTACTTGCAGGCACAGGGTTTTATGTGGTTCTGGGAAACAAACCCAGAGCTTTGTGCATGCTAAGCCAGCACTCTACAAACTGAGCCATATCCCAAGCTCCTCTACCTGTCAGTATCATGGAGGGAGAGTACTAAGGAAATCCTTGACGACTACAATCTGCTTCCCATAAATAAGTCATTTATTAAAACAGCTGTATTTGAAAATCAAAGGACTTCCAAATTATATTGCATTTCCAACTTCTTTCTACCAGCATATAAAGTGTACACATATTAAAAAGTATATCAGCAAGTCTTCTGTTTCATAGACTGGAAAACTAAATCTGAGGTTACAATTATATCTTTACAATCATCACACTATAAATCACAAAGTTAGATCTCTACCACTAATACATAAGACTTACTAGTCATAACAAAAGTTCAAAAAGATGAGACCATTTTTAAAAAAGTTTTGACAGTTTCTTTGCAAATAAAATATATGCCTAACAAGTGATAAAGTAATTTATGTCCTAGTTTAGACATAAGAAATAAAAGAATGTGTTTCTATACATAGGTACAAATACATGAAGTGCTCCCGGTGACTTGTTGTAAAGGTCACTGTAGGGAAATACAGCAGTCTCTTAAAGAGCTTATACACATACTTGATACCCGAGAGTATTTCTTTCTCAACCGTCTTCCGGACTAGAAACCCAGTCTTCACTTTCACTCGATAGGTGATGTTATGAAAACTTAACACATCTCCTGTAAGCGTCTTCACGTCACTTGAGTTCATTCCAGGAAGGCCATTGGTGTTTGTCTGTGACATTGGTACTAAAACGTGGTCATTACTGGAAGACATCTTTTCAATTTCTGCCTTCCTACAGAGGGAAAAGCAACAGTAAGTTAACAGGATGAATAAACGAAATCATCAACACAGATAATGGTACTTTTAAAATAAGTCTTTACACTTCTTTATAATTTGTAAATTCTTTTCAAATGGACATTCTTCTCACAGCACTGGGATAAGAACCACCTCAGATCAGGTAACAGGGAACAAACATAATTTCAATCACTTTGACTCCCACTAACTAGCAAATGCCTATGAAATAAGACCTTGGGTAGTCAACTGAATATGAGAAGTACTCAAAACTAAGCAATTAGAAAAAAAGATGGGTAAGTTTTCATCCTGTCTAGATTTAAAAGCTTATAATAAAACTTAACTTCAGACTACATGGTAAATACCTCATCTTATCATTGTTTGAACTTAGTGTTTATAACATTGTTATTAGCAAAGTGGACTTGGCTGAGCAGTCAGACTCAGGAGCATTTTTTCTGACTGTAGATTGTACACTTTTGGTTATTTTGTCCTTCCCAAACTGTCTACAGTGACAGAATCATAATGAGGAAATATATTTAAGTTCTAGGACAACTTAGAAAATTATGAATTATTATTAACTACATCAGATGAGCAATTAAAAAATTCAAGACTGTAAAGCAAAAAATGAGACTTAAGTTTACAAGTCAAGTTTAAAATGTTTCACAATGCACACTATAAAAAGCCCCTTAAACATGGGATTAGACTAAGACCTTCAGGTTAACTGAGCTTATGAAACAGATTTAACATGTTATGTTTAGTAAACATAGTCTTCACGTTTAAAAAACATAGATCCACAAAGAACTTTCTTTCTGCTTATTTTTCATGAGTTTTATTTCACATGTATAAAGTTTATACGTGCAGATACAGGAGAGAAAGGGCTTGGGGAGCTGGACTGACTTCACTGCTGCCCCCTCCTTTCTAGGAGTTTGGTTCCTATGAAAATTATGCAGGAAACATCCAGAATTAAGTTTAATGATGAAATTTACTGATTTGATTTAATAGTGAAAAGGGTCACCGTGGAGAAAAAAGAACCTCCAGGTGGAAGGAGAACTTCAAAAGAGGAGGGCGGGGTGGGAAAAGGACTAAGATAGTCTGTCACACATCTAACTAGAGACCTGGGAAGGGAAGGGAGGGGAAATAGAGGAGAATCAATATTTAAAGAAATTCTGGACAGTATTTTCCCAAACAGATGAGCATGCCAAGTGTCAGAATGAAGTTCCAAAGTCAACAAGCAGGACAAATACAAAGGAATTCAAAGGTGTGCCAAGGCAAAACTGGCAAGAAGCATAATCTCTGAATAACATTTCTACACCCCAAACTTAGCATCTACCGCTCTCTTCATTTTAAAAAGTGTATTAGCACACCAAAGAATGGCCCTTAAGACACACAGGAAAATACCTGAACATAGTAAACAATAACAACTAGCCCAAGTTCTATTCTCCTGAAGCATCAAAAGGAAGGCACAAGGGACGGAGAAATTTTTACAGCTTTATGCTAAATATTTTGTAAATCTATCCACATCTACAGAAACCAAGGTATGTCAAAGCAAACACATCAATCACATCTCCTACTGCCAACCCCAGTGTGACCAGCCACTGTGGCCACTTTCTGTCCTTCTCCCAAACACAGTAAAGGAATCAAGAACGTATCCTTTGACTCAAATTGGCCTCAAGATGGAAATGAGACTTTTGTGAGATTTTCACTAATAAAAGGCTTGAACTAAAGAACCTAAGGAAGATCATCCATGCAGCAGACAATGATCTACAATAGATAAACGGGTAACAACATCAGTATCACGGCCTTTCTCCCCTTCTGAGTTATTGGTTGTTTTTTCTCTTTTGGGGTGCCCACCACCCAGCTCCCAAATAAATCACACACGGAGGCTTATTCTTAACTACAAAAGTCCAGCGTTAACTCGGCTTGTTTCTTGACAGCTTTTCTTAACCTAAATTAACCCATCTGTCTTTTGCCTTTGGGCATTTACATTTCTCTATTTCTGTATACCTTTCTTTCTTACTCCGTGGCTGGCTGTGTAGCTGGCTGGCTGGCTCCTGAAGTCCTCCTCCTCCTGCTCTGGCTACTCTTCTTTCCCTCCCAGAGTTCTCCCTCTATTTATTCTCTCTGCCTGCCAGCCCCGCCTATCCTTTCTCCTGCCTTGCTATTGGCCGATCAGTTCTTTATTAGAACATCAGGTGTTTTTGACAGACATAGTAACACAGCTTCACAGAGCTAAACAAATGCAATAAAAACAAAAGTAACACACCTTAAAATAATACTCTACAACACTTCTGCCACCTCTGTGAGGGTTGACTGGCATCACTAATTCTCGTCCTCTTGTTTTCTCATCACTAAGACCCCACTTTTTGTTTGTTTTTGTAAGCTGAGCGTTTTTCTTCTCTATAGCCTGTTATGATAATCTGTTTTGAAAATAAGAATTTTCTCTTCTTTGCCATACTCTTAATCAAATACTGCTTTCTAATCAGAGAGCAAAACTTGTTTTACATATGATGAAAAGTACACACAAGTAGGGAAATACACAGGTAGATTCTGTCCTCAGTCAGGTACACTTGCCCACTTGTTCACTACTGTACATGCCGGCAGATGCAGGGGTAGCCATGGGTTAAGAGTTCAGAGCTGGACTCTTCACTTGATCTTAGACAAAAGGCCGAGAAGCGATCAGAGCTGGACTTTTAACATGTGTTTTCCTACACAAACATTCTTGTCTCTGGAGAGACAATCTCTGTCTCAGCCACAAGCGCCACTGGTTAAGAGGCTTAAACTACTTACTGACATTAACATCAAGATAATAACACTGACAAGGAGGAGGAGGCCTCAAGTACTTGGGGGTAATTCCAATTCAGAAACGGAAAAGAAAAAAGACATAAACTGTGGTTTTTAATTTCAAAATTTATTTCTTGCATTTAAAATGTCTTCTATTGACCAGTGGTTCTGATGTGCCCGTCACCTGACACATCCACCTTCAAGCATCCAACACTGAAAACACTCTAAGACTACTTAGTAGTGTAGGTTTGGAGCCAGCCCAGTGACACAGTTCCAGGCCTTCACATCATGGTGGCAGTGATCTGAGGACAGGAGACAGGGAAAGACCCATATAAAATGTATGTCCTGGCTAGTTTTATGTCAACTTAATACGAGCTAGAGTTATTTTGGAAGAGGGAATCTCAACTGAAAAAATTCCCCCACCAGAATGTCCTGTGAGCAAGCTTATGGAGCATTTTCTTTCTTGATTGATGATATGCGAGAGCCCAGATCACTGTGGGTGGTGTTGCCCCTGGTTAAGTGGTCCTGAGTTTTATATAAGGAAGAAAACTGAACAAGTCAGGAGGAGCTACACATCTCCAAGGATGCTACGCCAATTCCTGCCTCGTTCCTACCTCAGATTCCCTCGGTGATATACTTACAAGCTGTAGCGTGAAATGAATTTCCTCACTAAGTTGCTTTTGATCCTGATGTTTTATCACAGCAACAGAAACCCTAACTAAAACAGTACGTACACGTACACACACACACACACACACACACACACACACACACACACACACACCATACTTGAGGCTCATAATACTAAATGTGGTTTTAAAAGAACATTCTGACTGTTGTATGGTAAATGCTGAGAAAGCTTAGGAGGGCAGAGATAAGGGCCAGTTAGTACAGAAAGGTAGGGCAGACATGCTTGCAAAGGGAGGTCGCATATGAGTATTACCAGAAAGGCCCCCAGGTTCTAGGGCTCAGAGAGATGAAGTTTTGTTAAAACCAACTAACCATGAACAAGACTCTCCTGGATGGCCAAATTGCTTTACCCTCTTTGAGTCCTCCTTTTGAAAAAATATATTTCCCTTGAATTTTCTTTTCTTCCTTAAGATTTTATAACATTTTATATCTGTGTATCTGTTGGGGGGGGGGGTGTGCGCACACGTGTGCCATTTGTGAGCAGGTGCCCCTAAGAGGCAAGAGGGCAATGGATCCTCTGGAGCTGGAGCTAAAGGTGGTTGTAAGCTGCCCAAAATGGGAGCCAGGAACCAAACTCGGGTCCTCCGGAAGAGCAGCAAGCACTCTTAACTGCTAAGCCTGCTCTCTGGTTCCTTAAGTTCTATTTATTTTAAATTTTATTTTATTAAAAATTTATGTGTATGGTGTTTTGCCTGAATGCATGTCTGTGCACTACATATGTGCCCAATGCCAAAAGAGGACAGAAGAAGGTGCTGAATCCCTAGGACTAAAGTCACAAATGGTTGTAAATGAACAGCCATGTGGATGCTGAGAAGGTCTCCGAGAAGTCCTTAGTAAAAGCAACCAGTACTCTTAAGCACTGAGCAATCTCTCTGCCCTCCCCTAAGTTTTCTTAAAGGCTGTTTTAGGAAAGGTAGAAGCCTTTCCTCTCACCATCCCATATTAGCTAAACCCAGGGAATAAAACCAACAACAAGCTGAGGTGTAACTCGGTGGTAGAGCTCAAGCATAACATTCTGAGACTTTTAAAAAAGCAAATCGGGCCAGTAAGTTGTCCCAGTGGGTAAATACATTTGCCACCAAGCTTGACAATCTGAGTTCTATCCTCGTATCACAGATGGTGGAAAGAAAGAACCAACTACTACAAGTTGTCCTCTGACCTCCACAGGTACTTGGGTACTGTGGTTCTCGCAAAAATGTGTACATGTACACAGAGACACAATAAGATAAATACATGCAAAAATGGGCAAATGAATAAAAAAACCAAATGAGAATTGGGGATATGGCTCAGCGAGTAAAGTGTTTACACTTAAACCATGAGGACCCGAGTTCAATTCCCTACCAACTATGCAAAAATGTGAGGGATGCCTGTAATCTCAGCACTAAGCAGGTGGAGACAGGAGGATTCCCCAGGGCTTTCTAGCCAGTCTAGCCAAATCAGCAACCCCAAAGTTCTATGAAAGACTCTGTCTCAAAACAGTAAGAGCAGCTGAGCAAGATCCAACATCAGTCTTTGTCCCCCATACACATG